TCAGTGGGTCAGCCTGCAATCCCGTGCTTTGGGAGGCCGAGGTGAGTGGATTGCCTGAGCCCGTGGGTTCAAGACCCACCTGGGCAACTTGGTGAGACCTCATCTCTACAATAAATCAAAAATCAGCTGAGTATGGTAGCATGCGCCTGTAGTTCCAGCTACTTGGAAGGCTGAGGCGGAAGGATCGCCAGAGCCCAGCAGGTCGAGGCTGCGGTGGCCAGGAGCGGCCACTGCACTCCAGTCTGGGCGACAGAGTGAGATTCCGACTCTAAATAAATAAACAAACAAACAAACAAATAAATAAAATAAAGAAGCTAGGGATATGAAGATTAATAAAGCAAAGTAGTACTCCTAACACTTATCTTGAGATAGAGGGAGAGAGGAAGAAAGTACATTGTGATAAGCACCACAAATAGAGCAAAATCTGTAAGATGTCAGCTTCTTTCTTAGCTCGTCTTATAAAACAACTTGCCTTCTCTGTCTGGATGACATAACTCCTCTGTTGTTAAGTCTCTAATGATCCCACGCCACTGCCTACAGGATAAAGCCCAAATTATTTAATTTCTGCAAACACTTCATAATCTTGTCCCAACATACCAAACAGCCTCATCTATCAATTTTCTTTGACTTCATATCCTATGACACAATCATGTATAACTAGCTGCTGCTCTGATAACATGCAGGGCACTTTCACAACACCTAGCGCTTGTGCATCCTACAGCTGAACAGTCATTCTTCCCTGTGCCTATCACTGGAAATCCTGTGCTATTTATCAAATAATATCTCTTCCTTCAAATCTTCTCTGCCAGTGTAGTTTCCATACAATATGTTATAACACTTAACACTTTGTACTGCAATTTGTTTTTCTCTTTCTTTCTACCACTAGACTGTGGAGTATGGTATTTGTAGAAACAGAAACTACATCTTTTTGTTTGTTTCATTTCCAAAGTCTAGCAGGATAGTAAATATTGAAGAGGTGGTTGTTAAATGGAAGATAGAGTGGAGACATTTGCAGAGAACCGAAATGCATTAATCACTGTATTTTTTTTTTTTTGGCTCTCCATCTGGACTCCATAGGGCTACTACCTACAGCACTTCCGAATAAACCTGGAGCCCAAAGGAACCCATGCTTTAATTCCACACCCCCTTCTATTCATCTATCTATCCATCCATCTCATAAATAACAGTAAACAAGATCAAGTGCAGTGGCTCACACCTGTAATCCCAATACTTTGGGAAGCCATGGTGGGAGGAAGGCTTGAGCCCGGGAGTTGAAGACCTGCCTGGCAACATAGTGAGACCTAATCTCCACAAACTTTTTTTTTTAAATTAGCAACAGAGTGAGACTCCAACTCAAAAAAAAAAAAAAAAAATTAGCCCAGCATGGAGGTATGCTACTTGGAGGCTAAGGTGGAAGGATCACCTGAGCCCGGAAGATCACAGTTGCAATGAAGCATGACCATGCCACTGCACTTCAGCCTGGGTGACAGAATGAGACTCCACTAAAAATAAATAAATAAATAACAGTAAATGATACAGACAGCATTCCAGTCCTTCAAAGAGCTTATATTCAAGTAAGGAGGCAATTAACAGGTAAAAAATACATAAGGTCATTTCAGACCACGAAGAATGCAATGAATAAAGCAGTTTGATGGGATAGAATGTGCTAGATGAGAAATGTAGTACTTTATTATTATTATTATTGTTTTTTTGAGTCTCACTCTGTCTCCCAGACTGGAGTGCAGTGGCTGCTCCCAGCCACCGCAGCCTCGACCTGCTAGGCTCCGGCGATCCTTCCGCCTTCCAAGTAGCTGGAACTACAGGCACGCGCTACCACACCCAGCTAGTTTTTTGATTTATTGTAGAGATGAGGTCTCACCAAGTTGCCCAGGTAGGTCGCGAGCCCGCGGGCTCAGGCAATTCACTCACCTCAGTCTCCCAAGGTGCGGGATTACAGGCTGAGCCACCGAGCCCGGTTAAAATGTAGTACTTTAATTAAATTAAAGAAAGAAAGAAGCCACAGAAGGTTTCTCTGAGAAGGTAACATACAAACTCAGGCCTGGAGGATGAAAAACAACTATGCAAAATTCTAGGGGAACAATTCTGCAAGCAGAAGACACTATAAGTGTAAAGGGCTCTGAAGCAGAAATACCCTTCACTGTTTGAGGAACAGTGAAGACAGTGAGATCTTGTAGGTGGCAGCATCTTTGCTTATCTACACAATCTTCTACTTACTACTCTGACAGCAAAGGAATGATGGAATGGGGTATACAACCCACTCTGTTATTAGGAAGATGCCACGTGATTCTGAAAGCACCTTTCCTTATTAAAAAAAAGAAAGAAAGAAAGAAAGTACCTTTCCTGGTTTCTGCTAATAAAAATTTCTAGACTAGGTGTGGTGGCTCAAGCCTGTAATCCCATCACTTTGAGATGCTGATGTGGGAGGATCCCTTGAGACCAGGAATTCAAGACTGCCCTAGGCCACATAGCAAGACCTCGTCTCTACAAAAAAAAAATCTAAAAATTAGCCAGACATGGTGACATGCGTCCATAGTCCCAGCAATTCAGGAGGCTGAGGCGAGAGGATCGCCTGAGACGAAGAGATCAAGGTTGCAGTGAGCCTGACTGTGCCACTGTACTCCAGCCTGGGTGACAGAGTGAGACCCCAACTCAAAAAAAGTATTTCTAGATACAATGTCTTAACAATATGGTCCCAGGGCTAATTAAAACCTGATGAACAGAGAAGAATTGAAAAGAAAGACAAGCTCTTTCTACTGACTCTATAGACAAGTCGAAATGAGAAATATCAAAATTATCCTGGATTCATGAGAGGAAATAAAGCATAATACTAAGAAAATATCTGACTTATCCTTTTAACTGAATGGATTTTTCTACACCCATATAAACTTATAATACAAATCTAGACTTAAGTGATTAAACAGACCTCCAGTTTTCACTGACCAAGGTTTTTCTTCACTTTCACAGAAACTAAACAATTTTCTGATGTTTTGGGAATTCAGATTTACATGTATTAGAAAATGCATCTCAGTAATCATTTTGTGAATGTTTATGTCATAATCTATTTAATGCAAGTGCTATTATTAAAGTCAACCCCATGACATAAAGGAACATTCACAAAACTAGTTGCTAACACAACTCTGTAATTACTAGGAAGTCAAGCAGTGAGAAATTAAACATCTTTTCCCTTTGTCAGTGGCACCTGCCAGCTTTGCTAACCTGAACATAAACACAAAGATAAAATAAAACCCCTTTCATTATCCTAGATAGGTCTTGAAATTTCAGGTTGCCACCTTTCTACTGGTAAAAATAAATTCATTCTCAGCATCCTTAAATTTACTTCTATACCAGTTATCTCTGGTTAGTATAGTGATGTTTCTCCAAGGCTGTCTATGGGGGACCAGAGGTAAGACTTTTTCTATCTTCTTTTCGCAGGACCATCAGAGGTAACAAATGACAATCACTTCATGTTCCCACCCTACCACTCCACAAAGGGCTAAAGTTTCCTACAATTGAGTCTTCATAATTATGTACAGTCTCTCGACAGTTATTTTAAAAAGGCTGGCAGGGCGTGGTGGCTCATGCCTATAACCCCAGCACTTTGGGAGGCTGAGGTGAGAGGATTGCCTAAGTCCAGGGGTCTGAGACCAGCCTGGGGAACATGGCAAGACCTCATCTCTACAATAAATCAAAAAATTAGCTGGGCATGGCGGCGCACGCCTGTAGTTCCAAGTACTTGGGAGGCTGAGAGAGAAGGATCACCTGAGTCCAGCAGGTCAAGGCTGCAGTGGCCGAGAGCGTGTCACAGCACTCCAGCCTGGGTGACAAAGTGAGACTCCAACTCAAAAAAAAAAAAAAAAAAAAGCTTAAAAGGAGACCCTATCACATTCTTCAAGCTAATCTCCAACTTTATACATTTATATGGTCCTTCATTTTCTCTATTCCACTCATCAAGGAAGAACCATTAAAAGGTACACAAATACCCAATGCACCTTCTTCCCAGTCTCACATCTCCAAACTGGTTGATTTTGTCATTATTTGTCATCTCACCTGTAAATTCAAACTTTAAATAGAAAATCAGTTCCCCTGGTTGGGAAATAAAATTGCCTAATGTCTTCTTGGAGTTCTAACTCAATCCAAATGTTGGGAACTCCAGGAAGAAACGTACACTGTTGGAAAACGTCTATAAACAGGATGTACTGTAGATGCTTGCAGACTACGCCTGAGCATTATTAAGAAAGAATTGACTTCCCTTTCCTGGCATAGAGTCTGAATTACAGCAAGGCCTTACTCCCTTCTTTAAGGCTCAACAGCATCTGTATCACCTGGAAGTTTGTAAAATATGCAGAATTCAGGATTCCACCTCAGATCTACTAAATCAGAACCTGCATCTTGTTGGTATCTGTATGCAGTTCTACCTGTATAATAAAATCTCATAATTGTTAGAAAATTTAAAAGCACACATAAGGAGAGATAAGCCATGGATAACAACTATAACTGTTAATGACTATAGCCCCTTTCACGAATTCTTTATTTCTTATAAAAAGAGGTTCAAGAGAAATTTCTCATAAAACTATAAACTAGCGGGGCTCAGTGGCTCAGCCTATAATCCCAGCACTTTGGGAGGCTAAGGTGAGTGGATTGCCTGAGCTCGCGGATTTGAGACCCACCTGGGCCTCATCTTTACAATAAAATAAAAAATTAACCATGCCTGGTAGCACGTGCCTGTAGTTCCAGCTACTTGGAAGGCTGAGGCGGAAGGATCGCTGGAGCCCAGCAGGTCGAGGCTGCAGTGGCCGGGAGCGGCCACTGCACTCCAGTCTGGGTGACAGAGTAAGACTCCATCTCAAAAACACAAAACAAAACAAAACAAAACAAAACAAAACAACCCTCTATAAACTGCTTGACCTGAGACACACTACAGCTTTTTATAGCTATTATTGTTGTTATAAGTGGAGGCCACTGACACAACAAGTTCTTACCTAATCTGAGCTCTCCAAAGTTTCCACACCCTATCTTCTTGCCAACCCTGAAGTTGGGTCCCACCATAAGAACCCCAGAGGTTGTCGAGGAGCCAGACGGCCGGGAGCAGTGTGTACTCCTTTGTGCCATGGTTTTAGTTGTCCGTTGTCTTTCATCCTTTTCCCTACTAGGATGGTCCATGATCCTACACGACAGAATCTCTGTACAGCAAGTAGCTGCAGTGTGTAAATTTCTCTCCAAAACAAAAGTATGTCCAAATAAACTGTAGTCAGAGAAAGGTGAAGAGTTCTTTTGGCACCATATTTGTGTTTCTAATCTTCAGGAGATGAAAAACCATTGGTTAGTTCTGGCAGGGCATGTAGTCTGTAGATCTCAAGCACAAGAGGGCGTTTTGCAACCTAGGTTAAAAAAAAAAGTAGTTAAAAATTAAATTTTAAAACAAAATCAGAAAATCACTACCAACGAGAATGAATCCTATCCAAAGATGAGCAAAGCAGATAGTTTCCTGAAATGGGTTTTGGTTTTCTATCTTTCAACAGTTTAGCCACTTAGATTAGCTATTCACATGGTAACATAAGTTCAGTGGGCTGCAAACCATAGAAGCTAAAGGAACACATAAGTCTTTAATATTAAAAGCTTTCTTCTAGTAATGTACATATGATCAAAAAAAAAGACATTTGTTAGTTTTTTTCTTTACCAATAGAAAGATAAGACGGTATTAAAGTCAAGTTAAATAAACTGAGGACAATTTAATTAAAAGCTCTTTCTTTCAATTTGGCCAGAACTGATCAGAAATGAGATTTCTCACTGCCTCTCTCCTCTTTCCTCACCATTTATCAAGCACTGGCAACAATCAAGTAATCCAAAGTTACCAGTCAACACAGGCATCTTCTATGAGAGAATTTCCAAAACATCATTGATACTAAGCAGTCCTAGACGAAACCCTTGAAGAGCTCAACTCTTGGTCTAGTTTTGTCTGTAGTCTGAATATGCAACAACAGTTCAGAGGGAGATCCTTTGCAGAACCATAAAGTGAAAATAAAGCCCCCAAACAAAACATCTTAAACATAATATTCCTACCAGAATTCTCCAGTGTCCAAATTCAGGACACTGAATTCAGAGCACAACACGAATGTTTAAAGTGTGGTAATTTTTGATCTTATATTTGACAATTCATCCTTAACAACAAAAATACTGTTACCATCAATTATATACTAAACACATACTTATGTTTCATTTTCATAAATATTTTCCTTAAAACGTTAAGGGAAGAGAATCAGAATAACTGCTTGGTTATTATCACCAATTATACAATACAGTAAAAATTTCCAGATTAAGTTTCCTAAGGACACCTTTAATCCCTTACTACAGTAACAGGTACAGGACTGGGAGCTGACTGTATGGGTGGACACATAACTCAAGAATATAATCTGTTTAGTTAACTACAGTCATTAAGATAGTCTGATAATCTCTATGGAAAACAGTATGGCGATTCCTAAAACTACTAGAAATTGACCTTCCCTATGACCCAGCAATCTCCCTTCTAGGAATATACCCGGAGGAACTTAAATCATTCTCCAAAAGATTGGAGATTGGAGATATATGCTTGTGCAGGAGATACCTGCACAAGCATATTTATTTATTACAGCAGTATTTACTTTTTTTTTTTTGAGTTGGAGTGTCACTCTGTCGCCCAGACTGGAGTGCAGTGGCCGCTCCCGGCCACCGCAGCCTCCACCTCAGCCTTCCGAGTAGCCGGAATTACAGGCATGTGCTACCACGCCCGGCTGATTTTTTGATTTATTGTAGAGATGAGGTCTCGCTGCCCAGGCAGGTCTCGAACCCGCAGGCTCAGGCAATCCACTCACCTCAGCCTCCCAAAGGTGTGGGATTACAGGCTGAGCCACTGAGCCCAGCTACAGCAGTATTTACAATACCAACAACATGGAACCAATCATGCTGCCGATCAAAACTGGACTGGATAAAAAATGTGGTACATACACAAAACGGAATATTATGCAGCCATAAAGAACAAAATTATGAACTTAGATGGATTTAGAGTCTATTATACTCAGTGATTTATCACTGAAACAAAGAACTGAGTACCACATGTTCTCACTCATAAGCAGAACCTGAATATTTACAATTCTGTAAGAAAGGGACTAGCAGTAGCTGGAAACTGCCAGAGGAGGGAGGCATATAACATTATTAAGGGTACCTGATATCTCAGGCTGGCATGGTGGCTCACGCCTATAATTCCAACACTTTGGGAGGCCGAGGTGAGAGGATTGCCTGAGTCCATGGGTTCGAGACTAGCCTGGGCAACTTGGCAAGACCTCATCTCTACAATATATCAAAAAATTAGCCAGGCAGGGTGGCGCAAGCCAGTTAGTTCCAGCTACTTGGAAGGCTGAGGTGGAAGGATCACCTGAGCCCAGCAGGTCAAGGCTACAGTGGCCGTGTGTATGCCACTGCACTCCAGCCTGGGTGACCAGAGTGAGACTCGAACTCAAAAAAAGGATACCTGATCTCAAACCAGGCAAAGTGGGGACCAAAGGGAGGCCCAAACTTTACCTGTAAGATGATCACTTGTATACCTAATCCTAAATTATACCCCACATCTTCAAAATACAATAAGTTAGTTAATTTTTAAAAATAAACGGTTTATTTTTCTCTTTGGTTTTTTTACATTATTAAAACTGTATAATGACTTTAGGTTTTCACAATACTTAATGCTGGGTTCAGGTGATCCTTCCGCTTCAGCCTTCCAAATAGCTGGAAATAGAGGTATATACTACCACGCCCGACTAATTTTTTTATTTATTGTAGAGACAAGGTCTTGCCAAGTTGCCTGGGCTGGTCTCAAATTTGCGGGCTTAGGCAATCCAGTTGTCTTGGTCTCCCAAAGTGTTGAGATTAAGGACAGAGTCATTGAGCCCAGCCTGTTACTCCAATTTCTATGAAGTTCATGAACAGGTAAAAGAAAGGTGAAAGAAACCAGAGTGACTACAGAAAGGTGGAAATTAAATGGCAGGGGACACCAGGCTGATGGCTATCAATTGATATATACATTAATCAAAACTCACCAGGCCAGGCACGGTGGCTCAAGACTGTAATCCCAGCACTTTGGGAGTCCGAGGGGAGAGGACTGCCTGAGCTCAGGGGTTCGAGATCAGCCTGGGCAACTTGGCGAGACCTTGTCTCTACAATAAACCAAAAATTAGTCAGGCGTAGTAGCATGAGCTTGTAGTTCTGGTTACCTGGAAGGCTGAGGTGGAAGAATCACCTGAACCCAGCAGGTCAAGGCTGCGGGTAGCCATGAGCATGCCACTGTACCTGGGTGACAGAGTGAGACTCCAACTCAAAAAAAAAAAAAACAAACAACCATCAAAGTGCACATGTAAGATCTGTGTATCTCATTGCATGTACCTTACATATAAAAATACATGGTATCTACAAAGTGGGAAAGGGATGGACAGTCCAGCACAGAGTGCCAGATCTTGAGTGAGGAGTCCAGCACAGGAGGTCAGAGTCCAAACACAAAAAGCGCAACCCAGCACAGCATAGGCAAGGTGAGGCCAGCATCCATATGGAAGAGATGGTCAGGCATGAGGTATCAGAATTCAAGTGGAGACAGAACTAGAGGCCAGTATCTTTCTTTTTTTTTTTTGAGCCTTGACCCGTTGGCTCAGGTGATCCTTCCGCCTCAGCCTTCCAAGCAGCTGGAACTACAGGCATGTGCCATCACGCTCAGCTAATTTTTCTTGATATATTGTAGAGATAAGGTCTCGACAAGTTGCCCAGGCTGGTCTCAAACCGGTGGGCTCAGGCAATCCTCTCATCTCGGTCTCCCCAAGTACTAGGGTTATGGGTGTGAGCCACCATGCCTGGCCAAAGCCATTACCTTAAGTAAAACAATTCAAACACTGAAAGACAAATACTACATACTCTTTTTTTTTTTTTTTTTTTGAGTTGGAGTCA